CGTGTGAAATTGTGATGAAAAAAACTGAAATTAGTGTTGAAGATAGGTAATGGAATCGAATATCAATATTTGGAAGAAGTCCATGCTAATTCAAAGTGGAGTGGTGTAGTTCAAAGCTGTACCTAATCCCAAAGTCATCTACACAACACTTATTAGAATGATCAAAGATCAATTTTAAAGGAGCATGTTTCGGGCTCATATAACCCCATCATCAGCCAATAGAAAATATCATAATTCTTTAAAAATCAGTGTCAACACAGATTTTTCTGGAACTATGATATCTTCTATTGGCTGATGATGGGCTTATATGAGCCCGAAACATCGTCCTTCAAGATTGATCTTTGTTCATTCTAATGAATGTTGTGGAGATGACTTTGGGTTTTCATTTATGAAATCGAGTGTTAATTCATAAAGCACCCACTTGGCGTGTTGACTAGCGTATTTCCTAGCCACCTTCTAATCGAAATAGTCTGGAAGCCATGAAGGGTGATCGTAAACAACCGAACGAGCATAAAAACAGATATTAAAATAAACGAGCTTATTAACAGCGCAGATCAAGCAATCCATCTGTGTTGAAGGGTGCCCCATAAGGAAACAACTCGACATGTCACCACTTCTCGCCCTTATTATCCCAATTCGAAGAGGCTATAAATCCAGGGAATCATCCGGGGTGGTAAGAATATCAGGCGCCATCCAAAAGCAACACTGTTTCGCCTCATGTATTTCTAGAGCTGAGTTAAGCTTTAAGGAAGTCTTGCTGATCAGCATCTTTTTATTGTTTTTTCATCTTTCGATTGGGTGAGAGCATTGAAAGGAATATTCACAGATAAAATTATGAACTTAAAAACATGGATATATACAGTGTGACCCATTTAAGATGGAAGCACCCTTATAAAACTCACATTTTTCAACCGATTGGAATGATTTTTTTTTGTTAGGTAGATATTCAAAAAGTCTATTAGGACACCAAATATCATGAATAAATCTCCATTTCCAGGGCCAACTAATCTGATTTTTCAAGGTCAAAAATCTAAAAAAATTACTAGCGATTTTTTTAGAAAAAATCTGACTACACCACTGGATTTGTGACATTTTCAAATGGGTAACATGTGAATTACGTTGAAATGCGTCAATCAATAAAAAAGTTATAAAGGAATGAAATTTGGAAAATATGCCGTTTAATCAACCCACCAATTCATGTTCAGGAATTTTATGAAAATTCTGTATACTCCACTGGATTCAGGATGTCTTGAAATATTACTGATCACAGTTTCATCGAAATCTGTTCAGTAATAAAAATTGATGGGTTGATTAAACGGCATATTTTTCAAATTTCATTCCTTTATAACTTTTTTATTGATTGACGCATTTCAACGTAATTCCCATGTTACCCATTTGAAAATGTCACAAATCCAGTGGTGTAGTCAGATTTTTTCTAAAAAAATCGCTAGTAATTTTTTTAGATTTTTGACTTTGAAAAATCAGATTAGTTGGCCCTGGAAATGGAGATTTATTCATGATATTTGGTGTCCTAATAGACTTTTTGAATATCTACCTAACAAAAAAAAAATCATTCCAATCGGTTGAAAAATGTAAGTGTTATAAGGGTGCTTCCATCTTAAATGGGTCACACTGTATATATTATTTTTTTTATCGCTTGGAGCGCACGACAGAAAACTACTACTTTCCTGGCTATATGCCACGACGAACATTGAATTATATCTATTGAGCACACACGATAAGAATTTGTAAACAAAATCTTATGAAGTAGAGAATTTGCATTCTCCTCCATATATCAAGATATGTTTATGCACTCAATATAATTCTGAATATTCAACAGAAAACAACTACTTTCCTGGCTATTTGCCATGTCGAACATTGAATTATATCTGTTGAACATCCAAAAAGAGAGCATGAACAATAAAAATCCTCTTGGGGGAGACCACTGATCGAGAGAAGATATCCGTGCAAACCTCTTTCAATCGACGAATCATGATTTACGTTTGATGTACAATCAATATAATGAGTTAAAGTTGAAGGAAATCGAATCTATATCGTTTTGAAATCAGCATATTTCATTCGATATTTCAAACAGCCAAATATGATGGTGGAGTCGTGACGTATTAGTCCCGAACTGTGGCTATCTCTCTCTGATACCTCGTCATTCTGCAGTGTTGCAGTGTTATTGGTCAGTTCAAGGACAATAGGCGTGTTGGGAATAAGACGTCGCACCAGTCACACCAATGAATTGACAACATTTCAAATGGCGCAGGAATTGTGTGTTTTGAAATGGACATATTCTAATTTATTATTTTCATCGTCTTAGCATGAATGACGAAATTCAAAATTAATTCGCTGGTAGATTTTCAGTATAGAGTTCACGATTATGTCATTTCAAAAAATCAGTGGTTTCCCCCAATAGCTCGGAACTTCCAAAAACATCATTCGTATCAGTAATATGGGAGTTATATCTCTCACTGAGGAGGGTTTGATATCCGAAATGAGTTGATTCGAGTGGAGTCATATAATCTGTTTGTGAGAGATGTAATTCCCATATCGCTGATACGAATGATTTTTTTGGAAGTTCCAAGCTCATCAAGATCAGAGTTTATACATGTATACTTCTCATATACATTTCAATTTTCATTTCAATACTGAACATATTGGTAAGTTATATTTTTATATCATGATACATCACATTATTTTATCCGATTTGAGAGATAATGTCAATTCTCAAGTTCAGGGAATTTTTATTTTTCATGCTCTCTTTATGGATGCTCAACAGAAAGGCACTGGGACGAAATAGCGCAGGACAAAATAGCGCAGGACGAAATAGCGCGGACAAAATAGCGCAGGGACATAATAGCGCAGGGTCATAACAGCGCAGGGACATAATAGCGCAGAGACAAAATAGCGCAGAGACAAAATAGCGCAGAGACGAAATAGCGCAGAGACAAATTTGAGCGCGAAAACGTAGTGCATCATCTATGATTACGTTAATTCGTTTGTCAGGGCATAGAATATTTCTTCAAATACTAGATGTTTCAAAAGGAGACTAACCTTACAAACGAAATAACTCAAGACTAGGTATGCCGTTGGATTGTTAAAGTAGACCTATGATTAGGTTAGTTTGTTTGTTAGGGTATAGACTCATTTTGAAACACCTTGTATTTGAAGAATGAGTCTTTACTCTAACAAACGAACAAACCTAATCATAGATCCTGCACTCCGTTTTCGCGCGCAATTTTGTCTCTGCGCTATTTCGTCTCTGCGCTATTATGACCCTGCGCTATTTCGTCTCTGCGCTATTTCGTCTCTGCGCTATTTCGTCCCTGCGCTATTTTGTCCTGCGCTCTTTTGTCCGCGCTATTTTGTCCTGCGCTATTTCGTCCCAGTGCCCAACAGAAATATATATAACAATGTTCGACGTAGCAGATAACCAAGAAAGTAGTTGTTTGCTGTTGAATATTCAGAATGATATGTGCATATACATCATCTTTATATGAAGGAGAATGCAAATTCTCTACTTCAGAAGATTTTGTTTTCAAATTCTCATCGTGTGTGCAATATATATTATAATTAATTCAATGTTCGTCGTGGCGTATAGCTAGGAAAGTAGTTGTTTTCTGTTGAATAAACCGAGAAAGAGTTGAATTTTCATCACAAAGAGTTCGAATTCTCAATGTTTTTCATTATATACAGCGTGTCTCATATCAAACGCCCCCCCCCCCTCTATATCTCAGCTATCAGTCGTGCGATCTTTACCAAATTTGTATCGGTATGAATAATCATCAATATGACCAGTTCATTGAAGACAAACATCATTTTAGACAGTGCCGTGCATTTTTATTGAAATAAATAGGGGTCAGTTTCTCATTAAATCATACTAGGCATTTTTTCACAGGAAAACTGACCAAATAATATCGTTTTTCATGGTTTCAAACCCACATATTTGGATTTCCATAAGCTGTCTATGAAGGGTTTCAGAAAAACAGGCACATCTAAACAGCATTTTCGCGAACGTAATAATTATTTACTCGGAAACGGTGAGTTCAACATAAAATAATGTAAATCGTTTTTCCTTCCAAATCATGATTTTCCACCTACCGGAGCCATTGAACGTTCCAAAATTCGTAGTTGATTTGAAGTCACTATTTATTTGAGACTGAAAATGAAAAAAATGAAGCCAATCCTGATGATTCGGAATTTGATGATTTCGTGCATATGGGAGTTCGAAAGTATGAGGAACAATAATATGAAGTTAGATTCCCTGTAAAAAAAATGCCTAATATAATTTTATGAAAAATTACCCCTTTTTAGTTCAATAAAAACACACGGCACTGTCCAAAATAATGTGCATCATATTGATGATTATTCATATTACATCGAATTTGGTTGGAATCGCATGTCTAATAACTGAGATACAGAGAGGGGGCCGTTTAAAGTGAGACACGCTGTACATATATGAATCCTTTTTTTTTTTGTTCAAAATTTTATCAATTATTATTCATTAAGAGGTGCTTGAGGCATATGTTTATATGATGAACAATTCTTCTTGAAATGAGCTAAAAGGAACCAGGCATATTCTATAATTTAGCCATCAATCAAAGTACATCCTGTATACATGAATTTCAGGAACACCCTGTATGAAAGAATAAAATTTAATTGCATCTTCGAAAAAGCAATAAAATACGGTGACTCATATATTTCATAAAGGTAAAGCAAGATCGAATTAACGATCTGTCAACGCACTTCAAATAAACTCCTCTGGGCCAGTGTCGTCGGCATCGCTCTGTAGATGGACGCCTCAAAGAGCCGCATAAATCACGACCCCGAAAAACATCCAAATCGACCCGATGAAAACTCACTTTACACACTTCGCATGAAACCACGCCCCCTAGTCAGCCTTAAATTAAGTCATTAGAAGGGGTGGGGATGATGCTGAGCCGCCTAGGATATTTCAGCTCTACGCTGAAATATCCCGACAGTTTTCAGCATCCGTTTCGGCATAATCGAATTATGGAAATCGGTAAACAACACATTAATTTCAATTTTCGAGTGTCAAATTCGTGCGATGATTGAAGTTTTAATAACGCTTTTTAACTAGTCAGGACGTCGGTGAGTGTCGTCAAAGTGTTTCAGTGGCAATTTGTTTAGTGCTTTGATGTTGGTAGGTATATTTATTTTTCATTCACTTATTATTCAGTTCTAAGTAGATAATGCCTAAGTAGTGCTATTTTTGTATCATTATCTCAACTTAAAGTTGTTAAGACTTGAGTACTAACTGCTACTGCAGTCAGAGATTATATCGGGTGGTCACAAAAAAACCGGAAGTTTTTATTTTCCTCGTGGTTTCATCATTTCTCAACCGAATTCGAATTTCTTGGCGTCGTTTCATAGCTGAAGGGCTATAGTATACAGTGGAATATTTGAAAATTCCATAATGAACAAAAACAAAATGGCGGATTCTACCAAAGTATTGTCATTTACAAAAACCGCTGGAGAAAAAGAAAATCAGATTTTTTCAAACCTGTACCGATGTCATCTTAGGCTATTCATTTCTGAAGAGAATGAGTACTGGAACATCGAAATCGAACAAATAGTCCAGTAGATACACTCATTTCTTTGCAATTTGTTATGGATTGAATGTGCGAATGTCGTATAAACGATAATTATTATTTTGCTTCAGGTTTCATGAAAATTCAATCGAATTTGGATTTCTTAGAGTTATTTCCAAGATAAAGAACTGTATATAGTACACAATGGACCATTTGAAAATCTAATGATGGAAAGAAACAAGATGGTGGAAAATCCAAAATTTTTGTGATTTTCAAAAATCTCTGGCGAATAAAGAAATGCATATTCTTCCAAACAGGACCGATACAATTTTAGATCATTGATTTTTGAAAAGAATGAGCACTCGACTATCTGAATCGAACAATTAGTCCAGGAGAAACACGTTCTTTTTGGCAAAGTAATATGGAGTGAATGTCAATCTCGTGATAAGAATTACATTTGGTTTGCTTCTGGCTTCATCAGAATTCGATCGAATTTGGATTTCACTCCATAACACTTTGCCAAAAAGAACGTGTTTCTCCTGAACTAATTGTTCGATTCAGATGTTCGAGTGCTCATTCTTTTCAGAAATCAATGATCTAAAATTGCATCGGTCCTGATTGGAAGAATAAACATTTCTTTATTCGCCAGAGATTTTTGAAAATCACAAGAATTCTGGATTTTCCACCATTTTGTTTCTTTCAATTATTAGATTTTCAAATGGTCCATTGTGTACTACAGTTCTTTATCTTCGAAATAACTCTAAGAAATCCAAATTTGATTGAATTTTCATGAAGCCTGAAGCAAAATAATAATAATCGTTTATACGACATTCGCACATTCACACTCCTTAACAAATTGCAAAGAAATGAGTGTATCTAGTGGACTATTTGTTCGATTTCGATGTTCCAGTACTCATTCTCTTCAGAAATGAATAGCCTAAGATGACATCGGTACAGGTTTGAAAAAATCTGATTTTCTTTTTCTCCAGCGGTTTTTGTAAATGACAATACTTTGGTAGAATCCGCCATTTTGTTTTTGTTCATTATGGAATTTTCAAATATTCCACTGTATACTATAGCCCTTTAGCTATGAAACGACGCCAAGAAATTCGAATTCGGTTGAGAAATGAAACCACGAGGAAAATAAAAACTTCCGGTTTTTTTGTGACCACCCGATACACTCCCCATAATCTCTGCTGCAGTATATGTTATTTGAACCTTCTTTGGGAATTTCACCTGTTTCATTTTTGAAATACACAGGATAAACAGATTTGATAGCACCCAAACATACCTTGAAACTATTGGATTCTATTCAAAAAAGTGCAAATCGTCTCGTGTGTGATGCCTCGCTCGCACAAACTCACTCACTTCTCTGGACCACCGTAGAAAACTTGGCTATCTGGCTCTATTTTATAGATATTTTTATGGACGAGGCTCTTCTGAAATATCAAAAATTGTTCCTCCCTTGGCAGTCCCCGCGAGATTAACTCGTCGAGTTGAGGCTTCGCACCCCTTCGTGGTCACTTTGGAGACCTGCAGAACATCTCTTTCCAAAGACTCGTTCATTCAACGAACAGCGAGGGTCTGGAACACATTGCCAAAGGAGGTGTTCCGCGAGGCATATAACCTCCAGAAATTTAAGAAAAACACCCATTCCTAGCTTATTATCCTTCGTTCTCACGATGTTCTCTGAACATTACAGGATATCCCTTTTCGTGGGAACCAGAACGGAACAAAAATAATTCTCCATCGTGAATCTTTTGATTGGATTCAATCAAACCTCAAACCACCATCTTCTTGGTATCTATATCTATCAGTTTCCTGTGAATTCCAATAATATTTTCATTTTGAAATTCACCTACAGACCAATCTCCCAAGCTAGCTATAGATTCAAAAATAATCTATTCAACATACAGGGTGGGTCACGGTGGATGGACTACTATTAGAAGTATCTGGAGAACGAAATGAGCTGATTTCATTATTGCATCACACTTGGGGTCTAGCAGGAATGATAACAGAGATATAGGGTGTTCAAAATCGAGACTTTTCAATTTACGAATTTTTTTGTGTACAAAATATTTATTATCAATCAAAACGGCTCACATGTATCTATCTTAACTTTCGATTCACTATCTACTGACATTCAATTGGAAGAGAAACAGGGTGATCAGAATTCTGAAGCCTGAAGCACCCTGTATTTTTTCCAATTGAATTCCAGTAGATAGTGAATCAAAAGTCAAGATAGTGACATGTAAGCCGTTTTGATCGATAATGAATAGGTTCGACACAAAAAAATCCTAAAATTGAAAAACTCGATTTTAAGCACCCTATATCTCGATCTGTAATAATTCCTGCTAGACCCCAAGTGTGATGCATTGATGAAATCAGCCCTCCAGGAAAAATCTGAAAATGCAATGGAATACAGGGTATTCCATTTGAAATAATATTTTTAACGATTGTTATTTCACATGACTTATTCTGCTTTTATCAAAACCCCTCATTTTAAAATATCATTTACTTCAGTGTCCTGAAGATGAAACAATGAAGTTTCGAAACGTCGACAATTTAAAAAATGGTTTTTTCTCAACATTTCGACCGAATTCCCGACAACTCAACACCAGAAATTATATTCAACGGTCGCCATTCTATTCAACTAGGATATAACAAAGTTGCTAGTTGTTTCTGATAGAAGTGGCAACACTGTCTCGATGAAAATATTTCAGACGGATAGAGAATGTTCAATTATCAAAGCATTCAAATTTTCAGAATGTTCTGTCTATTCGTTCTCCAGATACGTACAATAGGCCATCCACCGTGGATCACCCTGTATAGATAACGTACCCAATAACTAAAAAACTGTTTTTTTCCTGACAGAAACCCCCGTGTGACCATCTCAAGATAGACTGAATTCAATTATTTTCAATTAATCGTCAAAAAGATGAAACAGTCCTACTAACGATAAGGAAATACCGATTTGGATTATTCGCAGTCAAGGTGCAAAAAATCACGTGAGACGTGAGAAAAGATCCCTTTTTCCGGTCTGGCGATCGAGAATGTACACCTTTGATGGACATGTGTCAGAATTCGGGAACTCTAATCAAGAATACAATGGCCGAACTCTCGGTACGAACAATTCGGGGCAGTTTTCTGTCAACAGTCTGCTCAGATTGGGCAACAAAAGACGATCGTCTGATGCCGATTCGTCTGAAGGTGAGTTTCTTTTTTTTCCCTTTGTTATTATTCTCGAATACGAGTTGAATGTTTATTTTTTCCCTGCGAAAATATATGAACATTGATATTGAGAAACCCAGAGTGGAAAAAATGAAGTACACTCAGAGGCAAAAAAAACGCTAGAGAAAAGTTTAAGCAAATTTATCGTCCTGTAATTTTTCAAATTCTCCTCCGATTTTGATGAAATTTCGACCAAATCGTATATTCATGTTTCGGAATGTATAAGCATGAATTTTTGTTCCCATGGAAAGCTGATGACTTGATCATTATACAGAATAAACGGAAGTTACTCTTGCACCCATATTATCAACGCCCTGTGGTGAAAGTGAGAGTTTCAAACTTAGCTTCATGTTTCGGATTGAAGTGTGATGGTTTTTCAATTATCTAAATATCTTCTTCTCAAAACACACTGTGAATCAATAACATCTAAACTAAATTCATCATATTAATTAAAAATGCGTATACCTTCATTATATGACCTTCGATCCGAGAAATCACAAAACCATTTCGAGGTCAGACACTAGACATCCCCATGACGAAGTAACACTCCATTATTTCACTAGTAACACAGAGAAAATTATGTTTCATCTACTGAAGACTACGTTATTCTCCATTCCATCATTCAGTATTTCTTGTATCACTTTGTATAGACAACTTCAGAATTTTCTGTTTTCGAACACAATCACATATCCGACACCAAACATACAAGGTTGATTCTTCGAAAAAGAATTCCAACTTCCAATTTCATTCAATTAATCGTCGAAAAAATGCATCATTTTCAATGAATATTCATAACACCATTATCAAAGCTCTGAATTCGAAAATTCCGAAAGCGTTTCGAGAGGAAGCATCAATCGAGAGGAAGCATCAATCAAGAGGATACAGGTCAGAAAAAAAGTTTGTTCAAACGGTAAGGTGACGACCACGATGCAATTTTACACCCATTCAATTATCACCCTGTAGCAATGTTATCTGAAATTACAGAAGTTTCATATTGCCACAACAAACTGTCAAGAGATTAGGCTATTGATATTGCCTCCCATTCTTCCTCGCATTCTTCTGATACAGCTTGGATAAGGTTGTCATTATTTTGGGGTGCCTCTCGCCTTCTCGATAGGTTAAGTTTCATTCGGCTCCACACATGTCCAATCAAATTCAGATCTGGAGATAATGCTGGTCACCACATTCTTCTAACATAATTGTTTTCTAGAGTTCTTGATTTGCCAGATAAGTTGTGAAACACTCAGTATATTGAACAACAATACTCTGTGTCTCATACTTGGGCAATAAATATTGGAAATCAGTTGATAAGAATCATCGATATCAGGAATCAAGTTTGAATTGAAAATTTCCATCCTGTATTTCAATTAGAGGCGAAATTTCGAAAACGTCTCGAGTTGATAGTCTAATATAAATAATGGATATCAAGAAGGCCGGTTCTGAATATATTGAATCGAATGGGCCATGGTTTTAGTCACCATTTTTGATTTTTTTTTACTGAAATGAGATTTTGTCCTATTTTCTGATCATCCTGTATATTCCACAATAGTGCTTTTTCCGCCTTTCATTTTCTTCCACAAAACATGAGAACAGTACTTCCCAATAGTCAGCTCAAGCAGAGTTCTAGAGAAACATTTCAAGAAATGCAAGACTTTCGAAAAAAAATCGAATTTTTGTTCCAATGGCCAATTAGGGAGAAATCACGAAAATGTCCCGAGATGAGGTCCCAGTGTATCATAATATGACTGACTTTTAATCAGAAAAAAATTTCTCGAGTTCTGGCAGCATTGGAAATGTAGACCATAGTGTAACCCAGCGAGCACAAACATCCCTGGGATGTTTTGGGATGTCTTGAAAATGTAGGCATGAGGATGTTTTTTTGAGGCGTAATATGCACTTCCCAAAGAGGTCTTAGAAGGATATTGAAAGTATTGTTTTTGTTCTTTTGTGCCCTCTCTTTGTTTGCCCCACGACAACGTCTCATGCTTACGTCACAATACGATGAATTCTGATTTGTTTTCGATTTTGTTCTTCTTGTTCGCAATTGGCATTCGCGTTTGCAGCGTGTCACGCTCACATCACGCTGCTAACGAACAGAAAGAAATTTGGTGAAGTTTTTTGTGTTAGAAGACTTATTTAGTTTGTAATAATGACCATCCGATGCAAGATGTGTTGTTCGGTGCCTCAGTGTAATCAATATATAAAAGTACGAATTCATCAACACACATGCAAAATTATGCATTGTGAAGAACATTTCAAAAATTGGGAAACCTATTTCCAATTATATGTCTGTGTGTAGTAAGCACTACTCAGAAACCGAAGGTAATTTCATATCAAGAAAATATTTTTATGTTCAATCTATTCTTAATGCATTTTTTCATTCAAGGGAAATGGAATCCTAATGCAAAAGTTCATTTTGACAAAAGGCTTCAGAAAAGTACCTCGAAAATGTTTTTTACAGCGATTTAATGTGCGCAAGACGCGTTGAAAATGTTCTGTTGTGTCCATGAAAAGGCTTTAAAAAAAACTAGGGAGAAGGTAGTTTTGTGACATATCAAGGATATCTCGATAATTGCCGCCTGCGGCGGACATTGGCTGTTCTATAATAGTTCTATTCATGTGTGAACAGAACATCGCAGTGGAGGTTCAATGTCTCGATATCTCGTACTTTTAACATCCCTGAGATGTTTTTGTGCTCGCTGGGAATTGTTCCACTTTACACCCTGTGTAAGTTTTGTCCTGCGGACTTTTTCAGAGTGTTCTAGCTCTCTTTGAAGCCGATGAAACATCACATCTGATATCGAAAACCGCATAAAGATCTGTTAATTTTTTCAAAAAATACAGGTCTTCGAAATAAAGTCAAATTATGAGAGGTCCGTCCATTTAGTGTGTTGAGAAACGAGTGCAATCAGGTCATTGGCAGATGAGCTGAAAAATTCAAAAAGAACCCGATATAAAATACACAGAAAGTCAATAAAAACATTGTTTCTGTAAATCACCTTCGTTTCTTGTTTCGGGTGATGTTCCTCTTTTGTTTAGCATCAGTGGAATGACAACAAACCTCTCAACGCGCACCAAAACACTACAAACAAACGAGTGAACTTTAACAACTGCATAAATTTTCTTCGAGACGACATTTCTAGAGAAACCATTAAAACTAAGAGAGAGGTGCGATCGTAAAATCAAAAATTAAACTTACAAAACACGCGTAAAATCGTTGCACAAAAAACCGTAATAAAACGCCTCGAAATTCAGCACTTCGACTAGCAGTTGTTTTGGACCGTCAAAGCGCCAACTCGACATATTTGGGACGTCGAAAAGAAATAATATATCAGTTCACGTCGGAAACTGACTTTTCAAACATTTCAAGAAAGACGGATGGTAAAGGATTAAGACAATTTGTTAGCGGAGGATATGGTGGTGTTTTTTTTACACCATGAATCCCTTGGGGGATAATGCACGGGATCTTTCATTTCAATTCCGAACTGAACCCAGATAGCACAATGTCATTCATAGATCGTTTATAGAATATTCTTCGATACCGTTGTAACCCAGCAAGCACAAAAACATCTCAGAGATGTTAAAAGTACGAGATTTCGAGACATTGAACCTCCACTGCGATGTTCTGTTCACACATGAATAGAACTATTATAGAACAGCCAATGTTCGCCGCAGGCGGCAATTATCGAGATGTCCTTGATATGTCACATAACTACCTTCTCCCTAGTTCTTTTTAAAGCCTTTTCATGGACACAACAGAACAATTTCAACGCGTCTTGCGCACATTAAATCGCTGTAAAAAACCATTTTCGAGGTACTTTTCTGAAGCCTTTAGTCAAAATGAACTTTTGCATTAGGATTCCATTTCCCATGAATGAAAAAATGCATTAAAAATAGATTGAACATAAAAATATTTTCTTGATATGAAATTACCTTCTTAATCGGTTTCTGAGTAGTGCTTACTACACACAGACATATAATTGGAAATAGGTTTCCCAATTTTTGAAATGTTCTCCACAATGCAACTGCGGAGAAGCTGTGTATTGATGAATTCGTTTTTTTATATATTGATTACACTGAGGCACCGAACAACACATCTTGCATCTGATGGTCATTATTACAAACTAAATAAGTCTTCCAACACAATAAACTTCACCAAATTCCTTTCTGTTCGTTAGCAGCGTGATGTAAGCGTGACACGCTGCAAACGTGAATACCAATTGCGAACAAGAAGAACAAAATCGAAAACAAATCACAGAATTCATCGTATTATGACGTAAGCATGAGACGTTGTGCCCGTTGTGGTGGGGCAAACAAAGAAAGATCACAAAAGAACAAAAACAATACTTTCAATATCCTTCTAAGACCTCTTTGGGAAGTGCATAATACGCCTCAAAAAAACATCCTCATGCCTACATTTCTAAAACATCCCAAAACATACCAGGGATGTTTGTGCTCGCTGGGAAGTTAATCGAGGAGGTGGTACATTCATTATTCCAAATTTTTTGGGATTTTCTCTCCTCGTTTCTATAAAATAAAAATATGAATATTATTTCAATATGCGTCTAGTAAGGACAGATCAGATGATTTGCCCCAAAATGTCACTGCGTTTAAAGAATTTTCCTATCAGAGAGCCTAAAAGAAAAATTCACTGGCTTGTCAGTGACAATTTGTGTTGAAAATAGTTTGGAGAAGAAAAATAAAGGTATATAGAAAAAATATCAAATTTTTACTTAGCTTTGGACGTTTCGGGAACGAATATGCTCCCGTTTTCAACATAAAAATTGGATTTTTCGTATCGCAAATTCGTATCTGACTGACACTTTTCAGTGTATATTCTTCAATGTCTCCCCCCTCTTTATATTTTTTGAACGGGTCAACAAAAAATAAATTGAGACTTAGGGGTAATATGGTACTGGTAAGTGTGGATGGGCTGCGATTTGATTAGATCTATTATGCCCCATCTTCTACTGCTATCTCAAGGTTCAGTTCAATATAACACACTTTACAACATAATATATAGATAGTTGCAAAAAACAGATTTTTTTGTATTTTTTTGACGCAATGTATCTTGAAAACGGAAGCCCGGAGGAAAATTTAGATAGGGAAAAAAATGTTCATTTTTTTCATGAAGAATCTACAGTTATCGGTTGTGACACTTATTTGTTAACATCCTGTGTATGCATAATGATAAATTCATTGAAAAATGAGAAGTTGAATACTTATTCACTCTTTCCTACGAAGTTATAATGAGAATTGTCAGAAAAACTCTCCTCACAGAAACCAAGATATTTTAATTCAAAATCTTATCGATTATTTTGTTTTTCGCCCAGTCGCCATCTTGAAATTTTCATCTGTCAGTTTGAATTCAAAATATATATTATTCATGCATTAATTTCATTACCTCAAGTTTCAATTTTTTTCATTGACCCCATAGTGGGTTGACCCCTTCAAAAAATTAAGGAGGGGGGGGGGGAGATATTGAAGTGAAGCACTGTTCATATAATGATTGTGTTACCTTTTAGAAATCTCCAGTGACGACAAAATCAAGAAGCCAAGAAGAAACAGGACAACTTTTACGACGACACAATTATCGGCGTTAGAGAAAGTTTTCGAGAAAACTCATTATCCTGATGCCTTTGTTAGAGAAGATTTAGCTACCAAAGTTAGCCTTAGCGAAGCTAGAGTACAGGTTAGTTCCTATATGTACATACTCTCAAACCAATCCCATATACAGAAATATTGTAGGAATGTGTTTCAGACAGATTTCAAATATTTTTGTTGCATTGCAAAACAACTGTTGCAACATAAAAAGGGAATATTACAAACATATCTGAATATCCACCCTGAATTCTAACCCAGGGGATGTTGCAGATATATGTTGAAAGAACTATTTTTTTGTTGCTTTTTTGCAGATGCCTCAAGCAATATTGCAGAGATAATTTGCAATGGTTTGATCTATGTTTGAGATACTAGGTAAATAGAAATATTGAAATACCAACAATTCTACCAAACTGGCTAAATATAAATCAATCTATCGGTACAATGTCGTTTTTAGAGATTATATACATTCATCATTATAAATATTTTTACCTCTGATTATAGGAAAAAAACAATGAAAACATCCTAACGGGATTTTTTTCCTTCTCGAATCAGAAGATACGTTTTCACTATCTGGGAAGATATACAGGGAGCAGGTGAGAAAACAAATAGGTATCCTATTCAAAATTCTTACACTTTTTCCTGCTTCCTTTATATCTTCACAGCTAATAAGAACGCATCTTTTGATTCGAGAAGGAAAAAATCCCATGAGGCTGTTCTTGTGTTGTTTCTACTGCCAAAAACAAAAGTGTTTTAGGGGATGATACTTTATAACGTGTAACACATGGTATAATATTGCATGATTTATCTAAGAAGCATCAATGTTTTACTGCATGTGATATGCAGGGTTAAAACATACGTAACATTGCAACATTTCTAAATATTGGAATTGCAATCTACAAATACGATTTTTCTGCAATATTTCTGAAAGATTGCAGATGAAACTGCTATATTGTAAGATTGTTGCAATGTTAGCTGAATATTTCGTATATGAGATATTGAGAATCATTTTTTTTAATTTTCTTTGGATTGTGCTTTGAACTCAAAAATGTTCTGATGGAGCAACCCAGAACAATGTGTAACATACAGAGTATTCAAAACTTCAATATCAAGATTACCAGGAGTTTTATCTGTCAAATAAGACTTATTTTCATAAACATTTCATAACGCAAACACTTCGTTACCCATCTACATATTAATGTTACGTTTCATGGTTTACATCACAGAGCGTTGAAGTTATTTTTGTAATTTTTTTTTTTTTTTCACAGCTCTTTCGATTTTCAAGATATTTGATATTAAGATCAAAGTCGAAACATATGTAAAATTTTAGGGTTCATATCATAGAGTATTTCAAGTGATTGTAAGAACCTATACAGGGAGATATGTTTTCAGGGGTTACGCCTTGGAAATATGAAATACATTCTTTGTTTCTTTTATAAACTTTTTTGTCTCTTGTGATTGCAAATCTGCGCCCGTTATAGAGGAAAAAAATTTTTCAATAAGCTAAATCTAATTTATTGATTTTCATCGGAACAATGAGAAAGAGAAGTGGTGGAGCATTTGCGGACACATATTTATAGAAAAAAAGTAAAAAAAGTCTTAATTGATCTGAAAAATAAACCTCTGAAATCTTGATACAGAATTTTGAAACATCCTGTAGGTTTAACGTGCCTGCAATGGTTAATTATCGATATCGACAAAAATGATAAATTTAATGAGAAAAAATTCTATATATCGATATATTGATCGATATAGTTTATTGATATATCGATATATTTTCGTAGCTCTAGACTAGAATGCAAACTTATGTTCCCGTCCCAATTCATCTCATTTGATTCGTTTCTAACAGGTGTGGTTTCAAAACAGGAGAGCGAAATTCCGAAGAAACGAACGAAGCCTCAACCTGCAACAGGCTTCGCCGTCGAACAAATCACCCTGTAAAACCCCGGCGGTGCCTCTCAAAGCAGACATCCCTGAAAAAAATTCGCTGCCCTACCACAATAATTCCATCCCGACACATTCTAGCTCAAATTTGCAATATGTGCCTTGGAAATGCTCAGCTTATTCGCAATATAACCAGCACGAATTTTATTCGAACGGTTTCAATAATTTTCCTAGTCAGGCGTGCAGTTTTCTGTCGAATTCGCCTTTCAGTTATACTGGTTTGCCGTCCAGTTCTGTTTGTGGTACACTAAATATGCAAACTCTTAGATATCGATCGCAAGATTTTAGTTTATAGTAATTTGGTTTAGTTAGTTTTTTGTAAAAATATATTTGAAAATGATCTATTGGTTTTATTTTACCCCTTGATCCAACTATGTGTGCTGGCGATATCAGCTTGGTATGTATGTTTTTATGTTTGTATGTAATGGATTCTTCGAACATGATGTTGACTCACTTCCAAGAGATTAGTTGATATTTCGAATAACGCTATATAGCTTTCAACAATAGATCCATTAAATATACATCAGACGTTGTGACAAAATTTTTAGGTCTCTATATTGATGAAAAATTATCATGCACCAAACATATACAGGGTGTTTCACAGGTAAAGGGAAATATTTCAATGGTAGATAGGGGTCACCAAGATGGTTCTGAAAATACCATATTTGATAGGTCTTAGAGTTTCCATAACGGAGATACAGGGCGATTTATCGATTTCGAATAATGATTCATTCGTCTATAAGTATTGAACTACCCAGTATATTTTTCTAAAATTTGGTATGGAGCTCAAACTTGGGACGTTGAATGCATTCACCTATCGATCGAAGTGAAAATCCAGGTTCGGCCTCAAGAAAAAATTACATTTATTCTGAATATTAAAATAACACACTGTATGTAATAATTGACAAAGTTCATCGAAGGAATCGTGAAGAGGAGGAAAACCTGAACTGGATTTGATGCTTTTTGTTTTCCCGCCACCAATTCTCATTGTAACAATCATGAACAGGAAGCTAAAAGTATGTCAATTTCAAGAGTATTAAAGTTATGAAACCACTTTCAATTATGATTATTTGATATATTCTTGTTAAATGATCTTTCGAAAGAACTTACTTAGTCTCACAGTCTTTATAACAGAGATACAGGGTGAATTATCACTCGTCCATGAGTATTAAACTACCCATCGCAGTAATATTTTCTCAAATTTGGTATTGAGCTTACTTGGGACGATGGATTCATTGACCTATCAGGCAGAATGGAAATACAGGTTCAGCTTCAGGAAAAGTCTCATAGTCTTTATAACAGAGATACAGGGTGAATTATCGAATTATAATTCCGCCTAATAGGTAAATGAATCCATCGTCCCAAGTAAGCTACATACCATATTTGAGAAAATGTTACTGGGTAGTTTTATACTCATGGACGAGTGAATAATTATTCAAAACCGATAATTCACCCTGTATCTCCGTTATAGAAACTGTGAGACTTAGTAAGTTCTTTCGAGCAATTTTTTGACTAAAATATATCGAATAATCATAATTGACACTGGTTTCATAATTTCAATACTCTTCAAATTGACATACTATCATCTTTTTGTTTATGATTGTTACGATGAGAATTGGTGGCGGGAAAACAAAACGCATCAAATCCAGTTCAGTTTTTCCTCCTCTTCACGATTCCTTCGATGGACTCTGTCAATTATTACATACAGTGTGTTATTTTAATATTTCGAATAAATGTGAATTTTTCCTGAAGCCGAACCTGAATTTTTTCTTCGCCCGATAGGGGAATGAATTCAACGTCCCAAGTTTATGCTCCATACCAAATTTTAGAAAAATATACTGGGTAGTTCAATACTTATAGACGAATGAATAATTATTCGAAATCGATAAATCGCCCTGTATCTCCGTTATGAAAACTCTGAGACCTATCAAATATGGTACATTTAGAATCACCTTGGTGACCCCTATCTACCATTAAAATATTTCCCTTTACCTGTGAAACACCCTGTATAGACCATGCATTTGAGAAATGAAATAAATCTGATCATGGGCATTTTATTCAAAATCATTAATTAACCCTTTATCATATATATTTTATCATGTATTCATATGTATCCATATTCCCTATTATGAAAAAGAGTTTCTTGGGGTAATAAAGGCAATCAAACAATCGCAATCAGATTTTGCAAATTTATCTAAAACTGATGACAATATAGCATAATGGGCCTGTTTCAGTGAAAAATTTTATTTCATTATTTCGAAGGGTAATTTTGCACTTATCATGCGATGGTTTTTTTTTCGAAAATTTTTTTTGGTACTTACGTATTTTTGTCTGAAAAACACGAATTTGATAATGAAAATGTGAACAAACCATTATTTATTGAGATATTTCACTATAAAGTTACAAATTTCACCTTCTTTTCCGCCTGTCTTTGGGGCGCATTTAGAACAATTTGCCCTTCTTTTTCCATCATTGGACAATTTATATATATCACACAATGTTGGACACATATTTTTTATTATATTAGTCAACTAGAAATATGATTTTCTTGTGATTTATCCATGTTTAGTGAAAAGAAGGAAGAATATCATTTGAAATAATGGCGTGTGTGATGTCATTCCAAAGCAATCTATTGACATTTGACATCTCCTTTGGATTACCCATCGATTAAATGGCGGTCATCAGGTATGCTTGCTCACTAAATAGGAAAAACTCACCATAAAAATCATATTTCCTGTTGAATTTTCTAGCTTAAAATGTGTCATTGAAGTACATCATGAGTATATGAAGTGTCCAATGACAAAATAAAAAGAGCAAGTACCTGTAAATGCATCCAACACAAGGGGGAAAATAAGGCAAAATCTCGAACTTTTTCTTGAAATATCTCGATAAATAGTGGTTTGTTCACATTTTCAATATCAAATTCGTGTTTTTCAGACAAAAATACGTAAGTACCAAAAAAAATTTTCGAAAAAAAAACCATCGCATGATAAGTGCAAAATTACCTTTCGAAGTACTAACCCTAACTAGTTCACTGTCGCAAATGTTGACAATATCCGACGGACGGTCATTTAGACATATTTACTTATTTAGGTTAGGGTTTTTAAGGTTAGAAGAAGAAGAAGAAGAGAGGTTAGAGGGGGAGAGGGAGAGTCGAATTATGTACGAAGGTAGAAGAACGGGAATGAGTTGAAAAATGTATTGAATAGGTTGTTAAATCACGAAGTGACGATTAAAACTGTGTTCTGGAGGTTTGAGTTATTGATAGAGTCCTGAGTAGTGCCGAACATCCACAAGTAATAAGTTGAGAGTAGAGAGCCGATAGTGAAGTCCAATTACCCAATCGACCCATCAATCCTGACAAATAGTATAAAATAAATACTTAACAACTCAGAAGTGGGATACATGTAAGCTAATTCTAGTGAATTGCTTCAGAAATTGGACAAAATATATCAAAAATAGTGAAATTAGTGAACATAACCTCAATTGGAAGGACATTTTCCCGCGTTACGGGCAGTTTCCCGGTAAAAGTCATCGCATGACAGTAAAATCGACATTGACATTGATGAAGTGGCGCTAAATTTAAAATGGATGAATTCGAAGCACAGATCACAGATTTCCACAGAAGGATGCAGAATTTTAGAGAACAACCGCAACCGCAAGTACCGCAACCACAACCGAGTGTGAATAGTGTGGACATGCAAGACAGAGATCAGCGGGAAATGCAAGAAGATCAAAGAACATATCAAAGAAGTCTTCCCAGATTAGAACCTTATGACGCTTATGATAATGAACCACAGAACGATCACATGACAACACTCATGGAAATGATGATCCGTGAAAACCAACGTAGAGATCAAATGATGGAGCGCATATTGATGAAGTTGACAGATCAATCATCACAAAACATTCAATCTAGACCAATACCAGAGCAGTATCATTCAATACCGGATTTTGCGCGAAATTTGAATTATTTCAATGGAGAAGGAAATAATATAGGTGCAAAAGATTGGTTAGAATCAATAATAACAATGGAACAGATTCATAGATTGCCAGAAAATTTTGTGTTAGAGGCAGCAAAATCACATCTAACAGGAGCAGCAAAACATTGGTATGAGGCTAGAATTAGAGAGCTGGATACTTGGGAGAAGTTCAAAACAGCTTTTAGAAGGACATTCCTTGGAACTCAAAGTTTGCCAGAAAAATGGAAGCGAATGACTGAAAGAATTCAGAGAAGGGGAGAAAGTGTTCAATCATATTTTCATGAAAAACTTCGTTTGTGCTTAGAAGTAGGGTGTAACTTCAAAGATACCAAAGAGCAAATACTAGTTGGTTTAGCCAGCCACACATTATGTAACATGGTTTCTTCTGCTACACATACTGATTCTGATGAGTTATTACATGATATTGTCTATCATGAAAGAATCATTGAGCAGAGAAATGAAAGAGGTAGAACTTTTAAACCAGAAGAAAAATTTCGAAGAACAGTAGAAAGACCAAATAGAGAAGTAAAAAGAGAAGAGGGACAGTCAACAAGGCCAAATAATCTGGATAATTATCGACCAAGTAGGGATGACAGAGGCAATCCATTGTGTTTTGTTTGTAAAAAGTATGGACATGTTTCACGATATTGTAGAAACCAACCTCAGCAGACAACTCACTACAATGCTACACAATTATCTAGAAGAGAGCCACCAAATAGTTCACAGCCAAGACAGTCAAACCCTTCAACAAGTGGACCACCAGAGAGACAAATGATAGTTCAAAGTCAAAACCTTGATGATAGTGTTGAAAAGTATTTGAAACCTATTGTTGTAAATGACATTATCAAGACTGATGCATTCATTGATGTTGGGAGTGCAGTATGCACAGTCACAGAGAAGTTTGTTAGTGATAACCAGCTATTATGTGAGCCAACATACAAAAGACTATATGGTTTTGGAAAAGACAATTTTATTGACAGTGTTTGGTGTACAAACTTGAAACTGCTTATAGACAATGTTGAAGAATATGTCAAGGCATTAGTAGTTCCTACTGATGTGCAGTTTATTGACTTATTAGTAGGTCGCAGTTTTACAGATCTACCAAATGTGGCTTATGTGCGGAAAGGAGATGTACTTCATTTTGGTTATATTGACCAAAATCCTTTCAAAGATATGGACTTACCTTTAGCCAATTTGAAAACAAAAGTAACCACAAGTGTAGACTATATTCTCTTTAAAAACTCTGTAAATTTTTTGCAAGTTAAAGTTGGACAAGATAATCAAGTTTTGTCAATCTGGAATGGAAGTGACCAAGATTTTTATTTGAAAGGAGGAGAATCTATAGTTGAGGTCAGG